CTTTTACACTGCTGGTGGGAGCGAAAATTAGTTCAACCATTGTGGAAGACAGTGTGGCGATTCCTCAAGGATCTAGAAATAAAAATACAATTTGACTGACCCCGCAATCCCATTACTCGGTACATACCCAAAGGATTATAAATCGTTCTGTTATAAAGACACATGCACACATATGTTCATTGCAGCACTGTTTACAATAGCAAAGACCTGGACCAACCGAAATGCCCATCGATGATAGACTGGACAGGGAAAATGTGGCACATATACACCATGGAATACTATATAGCCATAAAAAACAATGAGTTCGTGTCCTTTGTAGGGACTTGGATGAATCTGGAAACCATCATTCTCAGCAAACTGACACAAGAACAGAAAATGAAATACTGCATGTTCTCACTCATAGGGAGGTGTTGAACAATGAGAACACATGGGCACAGGGAGGGGAACTTCAGACACTGGGGTGTTTTGGGGGGTGGAGGGCTAGGAGAGGGACAGTGGCGGGTGGGGAAGTTGGGGAGGGATAACACTGGGAGAAATGCCTGATGTAGGTGACGGGTGGAATGGAGACAGCAAACCACCATGGCATGTGTGTACCTATGCAACAATCCTGCAAGATCTGCATAAATTTCCTTCTTAATACTGCTTTTGCTGCATCCCATAGGTTTTGGTATGTTGTGTTTCCATTATCATTTGCTTCAAGAATTTTTTTCAATTTCCTTCTTAATTTTTTCATTGACTCACTGGTCATTCGGGAGCATATTTTAACATTTCCATAGTCTCCAAAATCCCTCTTGTTATTGATTTCTAATTTTATTCCACTGTTTTTGGAGAAGATGCTGGGTATTATTTCAATTTTGGGATGTTTTAAGGCATGTTTTGTGACCTGACATATGGTCTATCCTTGAGAATGATCCATGTGATGCGGAAAAGAATGTGTGCTCTGCAGATCTTAGATGTAATGTTCTGTAAATATCTATCACATCCATTTGGTCTAGTGTAGATTAAGCCCAATGTTTCTTTGTTACTTTTCTGTCTGCAAGATCTGTCCAATGCTAAAAGTGGGATGTTAGTCTCCAGCTCTTATTGTATTGTGGTGTTTCTCTCTTTAGTTATATTATTTGCTTTATGTATCTGGATGTGTCAGCATTCGTGGCATACATATTTAAAATTGTTATATCCTCTTGCTGAATTGAACCCTTTATCATTTTTTCGTTTTCCATAGGCACGGTGTGTCTTTACAGGTGAAGTGTGTTTCTTATAAGTAACAGATCAATGGTTTTGTTTTTTTCGTCCTTTGGATGAAAAAGGCCATTCTATATCTTTTGATTGAAGAGTTCAGTTCATTTACTTTCAATGTTACTGTTCCCATTTTGTTATTTGCTTTCTGGTTGTTTTGTGGTGTTCTCTTCTTTATTTCTTTACTTCCTGTCTTCCTTTGGTGAATGTGATTTTCTCTGGTGATATGACCTAGTTTCTTGCTTTTTACTTTTTGTGTATACATTGTATGTTTTTTGGTTTGAAGCTACCACACGGCTTGCAAATACTACCTTATAATCCATTATTTTAACCTGGCAACGACTTAATGAAACTAATATACACTCTATGCCTTAACTTTGTACCCTTGGTGTTCAACTTTTCGTTTTTTCTATTTACATCTTATTGTACTGTTTATGCCTTGAAAAGTTGTCATAGTTGTTATTTTTAATTGATAATAGTAGTTCACACAGCAGAGTTACAGTGTTACAATATTCTGTATGTTTTGGTTTACTTACTATTACCAGTGAGTTTTGTACCTCCAGGTGATTACTTATTGCTCTGTAACGTTCTTTTCTTTCTGATTGAAGGACCCCCTTTAGCATTTCTTGAAGGACAGATCTGTGGTTGATGGAATCCTTCAGCTTTTATTTGTCTGGGAAAGTCTTTATTTTTCCTTCATGTTTGAAGGATATTTTTTGTGGGATATACTATTCTAGGGTAAAAATTTTTCCCTTCAACACTTTAAATACGCCATGCCACTGTCTCCTGGCTTGTAAGGTTTCCTTCCACTACAAAGTCTGCTGCATACGTACTGGAGCCCCATCGTATGTGGTTTGTTTCTTTTCTCTGGCTGCTTTTAGGATCCTTTCTTTACCCTTGACCTTTGGGAGTTTGATTATTAAATGCCTTGAGATAGTCTTATTTAGGTTAAACCTGCTTTGTATTCTACAACCTTCTTATACTTGAATGTTACTCTTTCTCTTCCTCCTCTTTAAGGCCAGTAACTCTTAGATTATTTACCCTTTTGAGGCTACTTCTAAGTCTTGTAGGTGTGCTTCATTCTTTATTCTTTTTTCTTTTGCCTACTCTGTGTATTTTCAAATAGCCTCTCTTCAAGCTCACTAATTCTTTCTTCTGCTTGATCAATTCTGTTTTTAAGAGACTTTGATGTATTCTTCTGAAGGCCAGTTGCATTTTTCAGCTCCAGAATTTCTGCTTGATTCCTTGTAATTATTTCAATCCCTGTGTTAAATTTATCTTGTAGAATTCTGAATCCCCTCTCTGTGTTATCTTGAATTTCTTTGAATTTCCTCAGTACAACTATTTTTAATTCTCTGCCTGAAAGGGCACATATCTCTTTTTCTCCAGGATTGGTCCCTGGTGCCTTATTTAGTTTATTGGGTGAGGTCATGTTTTCCTGGGTGGTGTTGATCCTAGTAGATGTTCCTTGATGTCTGGACATTGAAGAGTTTGGTATTTGTTGTAGTTTTCACTATCTGGGCTTGTTTGTACCTGTCCTTCTTGGGAAGGCTTTGTAGATATTCAAAAGGGACTGGGTGTTGTCGTCTCGGCTGTATCTGCTTTAGGGGAAACCATAGGCCCAGTAATCCTGTGGTTCTTGCAGGCTTGTAGACATACTGCCTTGATGATCTTGATTACCAGGTGGAGGCTTCCCTTACTTTCTCCCAAACAAACAGTATCTCTTTCTCTCTGTTCTGAGCCATCTGGAGCTGGGGGTGGAGTGACACAAGCATCCCTGTGGCCACCAGTCCTAGGATTGTGCTGTGTCAGATCTGAAGCCAGCACAGTACTGGGTCTCACCCAAGGCTTGCTGTAACCACTCCCTGGCTTCTGCTCTACAAGCAGCAGGTGGCAAAAATAGCCAGGCCTGTGTCCTTTCCTTCAGGGTAGCTAAGTCCCCCAGTCCCTGAGTGGGTCCAGAGATGCTGTCCAGGAGCCTCAAAAACCTTAGAAGTCTACTTAGTGTTTTATTGTACTGAAGCTTAGCTGGCACTCAAACCACAGGACACAGTCCTTCCCACTCTTCCCTTCCCTTTCCAAAGGCAGACGAGCCTCACTCCATAGCTACAACCACCCCAGGCCATGGGGGGTACTGTCTGCCTGTGTTCCTGTAAGGTCCAAGGCACTTCAGGAAGCTTGCGACTAACGCTACCATGTGAGAGAAAAAGGGCTTTCCTTTACTCTGATCCTATCTGCATTCTATCTGTCATAAATCTTTAATGTATCTCGCACATGGGTTACACCTATGCCTTTGATTCAGGGTTTTCTCTATATTTATATTATTTGGTGACTTCAAAAGGGTCTCATAGTGGAAAGGGAGTTAGGGGCTTGTGCTCACACATGCAAATCTCCTAATAAGAAATTATTCCATTATAATTTCTAAGAGTTATTATGCACTTTCTGTGTTCCAGGCAGTGTTCTAAGTCCTTTACATGCACCAACACATCTAGCCTTTCCAGAAGTCCTATGAAATAGGTTCTATTATTGGCTTCATTTTACAAATTAGGAAACTGACACATAGAGATGTTAAGTAACTTTTCTAGTGTCACACGGCTAATACATGGCAGTGTAGGGATTTAAAACTAGACAGTCTGACTTCAGAGTAGCTTTTAGCCAGTACTTATACATCTTTACAAACATGTAAGCACAGCTATATCCATATATACATAGACATATATGTATATATAATATATATGCTTAATTCCATCTGTCTCTGTCACATTTTTCTGAACTGGGAGTTGTCCTTGCATTTTAAGATGATGTCAAATTTTAAGTTTATTTCTTAGAGGCTGCCTGACTTTTCACACCTCCAAGCTCTTGAGGGCTGAGGGCTGCTTTGCTCTGGCCACCACATGCTGGGAGCCCTTGCTGGACTTCTCTGCACCACTCAACACCATTGGCCATTCTTTCCTTCTTGAGGCTTTCTTGGTACCATGTCCCCCAGGTTTCCTCATTAATCTACGGTTGCTCTTTCTCAAGATACTTCAGTGACTTACCTCTTAGTTCTTTGAATCTTAGGAATCTCTAGAGTTTTGTACTTTTCTCAACACTTGCAACCTTGTTTCATCTACTCTTATGGTTTCAACTGTCATCTCCAAGCTGCTAAATTCCTCCAAATTATATCTCATTTGAGTCTAGGCCCAGGTATCTTGCTGCCTTCTGAACATCTCTTCAACTTCAACAATAATTCTAAATTTTTGTATCATACCCTTTATCGCAGCCAACTGATGAGTTTCTAATCCTGGATAAATCCAGCTGTTCTTTCTAGTAGTCACTAATTCATGGTCACAGACCTCAACTGGGCCCTTAATGCTGCTCCACAAGGCAATCATTTCTCTGTTCACCCTGTTCAGCTCATTACGAAGAATATTTCAAACCTTCTCTCCTCTCCTCAAACCTCCAGCTCTGCCTTCAGTTCAGAAGATTTATGTAATAAATTACACAAGCATCTGTTAATTACTTGCTACATTTTCTCCTAATTCACAGAGAGAACTCAAGCCATCAGCTACAAACTTCTTCAAATTCTGGTCTGATTTTTCATCTGTTGGGGAAATGTGTTCTGACTGCGCAGCCAGACTCCAATAGCAAGCATTGTGGATATGTGTTATGCTTCTCTGCCTCTCTGGAGCTGAGCACAGGTCCTTGGGGTACATAGGGACTTGGACTCCAGTTTCAGTTGATGTTGTCCTGCATTTCTCACCACCTTGGCTTATTTCTTGCAGCTGATGTAGAAGGCCAATCCTTAAGACACCGAGACAAGCGGCTTAGTTTAAACTTGGTAAGTTCACGCAGGTTCCTTTAAGCATCAATTTTACTAAAATAGCCTGATATGTATATGTTCCCCTGAAATCTTGAAGATTCAGCACTCTGAGTCCCTGAGGACTTGAACTCGTTTGAGAACTATGGGACTTGGTTCTAATGGTTCGGACACTGTTCAACTTGGTATAGCTACTGAAGGCACCACTTTATACTTAAAGCATTTGCATCAATTCATAACCTTCTGTCTTCCAGTATCAGATCTTGAAGAGTTATCGCCTATACTAAAATGGTAAGTTCAGAGGCAGAACTTGAGCTAGAGGCTTGTCTGACTTTCCTGAGGAAGTTCAGAGTTGTACTTGGATAATTTGGAACTGAACCCATATGTGCAGCCTTGGCCGCCCTCTGATAGCAGTCTCTATGACTGGTCTGTAGTTCCCAATCTGTATCGATTCTTTTGCAGCCATGCAGGTTCTCCCCGACATACCCCACAGCTTCAACCAGTACTGAAGACAGCTATATGCCGATGAGCCCCCAGGCCGTTGCCTCTGGTCTTGGACCCCACTGCAGCCCTGATGACTACATTCCAATGAGCTCAGGAAGCATCTCAAGCCCACTGCCTGAGCTACCTGCAGACCTGGAACCTCCCCCAGTGAATAGAGATCTCAAGCCTCAGAGGAAATGTAAGCACTTGACCAGGGGAGCAAGGTTCTGGTGGTTGCATAGAAAAGGTTTGTGGAAAGGAAGACCTAGAGAAACCACCCCTGAGGGTTGGAAAGTATCAGGTCAGAAAAGAAGTGGCTGGGATGGAATAGGAAGGGCTGGGACATCTTCCTGCCCCAGATTGTCATGATAATAGGAGTTGGGGGATGTACAGGCACTGTGGCCTTGCAAATACAGCTGACAAAGCCAAGTTCATTCCAGAGGGTTCTTTGGCTGCATCCCTAACAAAGGTGGACACCTGGGTCAGGACTAACTCAGGAAGATGGACCACTGAGGTGAAATAAGGGTCAGGGCAGATACCAAGTGCTTCTCTAGGTGTCAAGGCTACTGCAGTGAACAAACAGATGTACCCCTGTACTCCTGGAGCACGGTCTAGGCCCAGATCAATCATAGATGAATGTATCATCACAAACTGGGGGAGTGCTGTACAAGAACTTTAGAGCCCATGCTGTGGGGCCTGATCTTGTCTGGAGGCAAAGAAATGGGGAAAACATTCTAGGCAGAGGGATCATCAGGTGCACAATGGATTGTAGGTGTGGAAGACTAGGACCTGCGTGATCATCTCTGCCTGTGATAAGAAAGATAACATTTCCACTTTAGACACATCAGGTGTGAGATAGGTGTTGCAATTCCACAAGATCAGAGACTTTCATCTGCTCTGTTCATCCTGTGCCCTTGACAGCTAGAAGCATACATGATATACAGAGACTTAATAACACATTGCTACATTGTTATCTGCAGAAGTTAATGTGGCCATTTGCTCAGTATTTGTGTTTACTCTCAGTGAGGCAGGGAAGAGGACAGTAAAATTCACACTCATCATCAGTGCTGCCTGTTAGGAAATGTCGTAGTTTTACAGCCTTTAAATTGTAGCCTTGACCTCGTGGATGTTGCACACTGTCTTGTAGCGCGGCCACCTCCCCTGGACCTGAGAAGTCTCTCCACCATCCGGGAACATGCATCTCTTACCAGGACCCGCACTGTGCCTTGGTGAGACTCTGATTGCTCAAAAGAGCCTCATCCAGCCCAAACACCCCTGGTGTGTGTTAGGCCTCTGATTAAATGCAGTTGAGGCCCACTTAATATCCCAGGATTATGGAATCAGGAACTAGTGTGCTGTTGGGAACCCAAGGAATCTGCTCACATCTGCTTCACTCTTCACATCTGTGTATTCCTTTGTCTTTGCACAATCCTCATGGTCAAAGATAGCTGTACCATACTTCCTGAACTTGTTTACGTGCTACAATTCCAGTACCAAAGATGGGCTCTTTTTCGATCCCCAGTCTCAGTGGAATCAGCTATGGCCCAAGCCCAGCTTTCTGAATGGGATAGGACAAGGGAGCTCCCAGATTCATGGGCCGGGTAGACAGACTTCAAAATGTAATTGCACCCTTTCATCTCACCTTTTAGAAGTTGCATTTTTAGTCCTGAGCTTGGCTTGGGAGTTTCTCAGTTCACTCTAAATGCTACAAAACACAATTGCATTGTAAAGCAGAATTCTGCAATGAGCTGTATTTCCAGCCAAGACAGTGACTCAGCCCATACTTCTGACATGGGAGAAGGAGGGAAGTTGATTAGCAGTCTTCTTGTCCTGTCAGAGGAATGGCCATACTTCCTCACTTTTCCTTACGTTGAATAGAAACAAGAAGGCCCAAAAGGAGTGATTTTTTTGCTTAATGATATGATGCCTTCATCTGTTTAGAAAGCTCTTGAGCTGTGTCACATAGAGAGCCTGGGGGAAAAAGCAGCCTTTGTGAATTGGGAGCCATTTGCCCCAGAGTGGGGCAGAAACTGTTGGGCAGTTTCTGCTTCTTCAGGAACTGCTTTGGCCGGAAAGAAGTAGTGTCTGGCTGGAAGGGGAGGGCCGAAACCCCATGGGGCCATGTTAGTTCCTGGCTGGCTTTCAGAGCAGCTGTAAGACATTGCTTTCACCTCATCTATGTTTTTATTCTTAGCAGTCGAACCAGCTTTTGCTCTCCAGAAAGAAATGGTACTAATTCTGCAAGATTTTTTGCTAATCCTGTTTCCAGAGAAGAGGAAGAAAGCTACATCGAAATGGTAATCTTATATTTTTCACACTTTTCTTATTCTTCACCCCAATCTACATTCTTATGAGGTAATTATAAAGGAAACACATCCTCCAGTAAGCTCTGTGCAATCTTAAAACAATCACTTGATCGTAAAACCAGGCCACAAGCTTTTCTGGACTTGGAACAAATCAGTTTGAAGCTGGCTTTCTTTCATGCAACATTCAACTCCTCATACCATTTTGAGAGAACTTAGGGCTGAGCCTTGCTTAATTTGAAAATGGAAATGCAGCAATTCTTTTCACCAAGGCTGTGATGTCCTGTTTGACCCCAACAGATTTCTAGTTCCCTAGATGTCCAGAGTTTAAATTGTAAAAACTCAACATATTGCAAGTTCCCTTCCACCAGCACACCTGGTGGCCCTGTCCTGACTGCTTCTGAACCTTCCTCAAGGAAGGATCACTTAGAGTCCCACTAGGGAAGGTACAGTGCCCTGGGCTGTGAGTATATCGGACTCTGGAAGACTCCTATTATGGGGTTTTTCTATAGACTTGAGTGGATAGAGACTTAAGATCTCTATCCTTTGATTAACCATTTGGTTAAAGAGTCCTGTTGTTTCTTCTATTCTCTTCATCTTGGATGCTATTGAGAACACGGGCTTCTGAAGATGGAGAGGGACTTTTAGCACATCTGGCAATTAGCAGACACTTCAGCCATGACAGTGCCTGTTGTACAAATTACAAATGCAGGGAACTCAACAGAGAGCTTCTGTTTGAACCATGAAATTTTGAAAAGAGATCTTAGAAGGACAATATTCAAGGCTCTGTGACAATATACTCTTGAGAAGACAATTCTGCCTTCCTATATGCAAGGATAATCAGCAACTGAAAATCTAAAAATAGTAATCTCCAGTTAAGCAATAATTAAATGCTTCATTTTCCCTTCTTATTTTATTAAAATTTTGCTGTAAGTGCACTTAACCTGATGCAGATGGAAAGTGACCCATATACAAATCTGTTATGGTCTTCCCAATATTTCTCACACTTAGTAATGGCCCTTGGGAAATTTCTAGAAGAAAACACTTATAAAACGATGCTTAACAGCTGTGCTCTGTCTCCCGAGAACAGAAAAGGGAAGTGCATCTGAAACCCAGTGGAAGCAAGTGTAAGAGTCACTCCAGATACTAGCAGTTCCTTTCTGATCTTTGACGCTGTTTCATTAACAACAAAGTTTATAATCACTGATCGATCACTGTCTCTGTGTATTACTAGGCAACATGACACAGCAGATTAGGAGCCAGAACACTGGCTGATGGTAGCTATGATCATGGGAACTGTCATAGAAAAATGTTTAAAGGCTATCTCATCTCGTTCAATTGTGGTTTTTGAAATCTTAGTAATAAGGCAGTTTCATATGACTTTGTTTTACATTATTTCACTTGTGCCACATAACAGCCCAATATGACAGTCAAACCTAGTATGATCTGAGTTTGATTTTGCACATAAGTAGATAGATAGATAGATAGATAGATAGATAGATAGATAGATAGATAGATAGATAGATAGATTTTTTTTTTCTCTTTAAGGACAAGTTCTGATCTGAATGTAGTGATTAAGGCCAGGGGCTGAAACATGGTTTTGCTTTACTGAAATACAAGTTTTGCTATATATCTTTCTTTAAATGTTTGTGAATTATAGATAATTTAGAAGACTAAACATGCTTAATTTTAATATATGGGATTTCTTCTCTATCACTTTTTCAAGCCCTTTAAACTTTGTAAGGCTTTTATAGTAGAGTTCTAGACTCTTAAATCTCATATTAATTTTTTTATTATGGTATCACAGTACTTTTAAGTTTTTAGATCACACAGTGAAATTGACTTTCTCTTGGTATGCAATTCTATGAGTTTGATCAGGATACAGAACAGTTCCAAAATCCCTCATGCTACCTCTTTAGAGCCACATCCTCCCTTCACCTGTAACCCTGGCAACTATTGATCTATTTTTCCTGACTGTAGTTTTGTCCTTTCAAGAATGCCACAAAAATAGAATCATACAGTACCTTTTAAAACTGGCTTCTTTCACTCAGAATGGTGTTTTTTAAATTCGTCTATTGTTACATGTATTAATATCGCTTTCCATTTTATTGCTGAGTAGTGTTCAAGCATATGGATGTGTCACATTTTGTTTGTCCCCTCACCCATGGAATGACATTTGGATTTTTTTCAAGTTTTTAAGCAATTAGAACTGTCAGAAGCTTTCTTTTACAATTTTGAAAAATATTTTTCTTGCAGTAAAGTTCTACTTTCTATTTTAGGTAACTCATGTAAGTGGAGTCCTTTTGTGTCTGTAGTAGTGTCTAGTGTTTTCAAGATTCATTCTTATTGTAGGATACATCAGAAATAGAACTAAGAGAAAAGCTTTTTACATTTAACTTTGATTTTTATTTTAAGTTCAGAGATGCTTATCCAGGTTTGTTTTATAGTCAAACGTGCATTACAGGAGTTCATGCACAGATTATTTTACCACCCAGGTATTAAGCCTACTACCCAATAATTATTTTTATTTAATTTCTCTGGCTTTTTGATTTGTAAAATTGGCATAATAATTCCAGCCCTACCCAGCTGTCGGATTGGTTGTGAGGCTTTAAGTGAAGTTACTTTGCATCAATTCTCTGAATGTAAAAGATATAGATACCATTATTATTAAAACACTTTGATAAAAGGTATTCATGGAAACTTACTTATCTGTAGTTAAAGACCCAATAATGATATTTTGTATGGAGACAGGTTCAGGTTAATTTTTATGGTTCAATAGGCTGAGGTTGCAGTTTCACATGTCACCAAACCAGAGACTCACTATTAATTAGCATGGTGGGGGATGTTGGGGGGATTAGAGGCAAAGCTAAACAATTTCTCTACCTTGGAACAAATTGGGGAGGTAGAGTAATACCAGTGCTTTTGTTCATTCATATTTAGCATTTAGCATACTTTATTGAACACTTAAAATGAGCTGGACATTTGGAGGAAATAAAGACACAGGAAGGCAGTGCCCCATTCCTGCTCCTACTCTTTATGAAAGGGTGCCCTGTATAGGAGCCTCTCTTCATTCTTATCAAGGCCTTCGTCTGTCTTCTGGGCCTCAACCCTATTCTGGCTTTCTGGATTACTAACCATGCCAGGACCCTGTTGTCATACATTTCAGCATTGCTTTTCCTGTGACCTTATAGCCCTTGTCTGCTTGATCTCACACCATTGGCGCTTTGCTAGCTGCTACCTTCAGCCACTTCCTCTGCCTTTTATTCCCACAGTTACTCCTAGGTTTTTGAAAGTACTAAATTGACCTTAAGAATGAATGATGGTGGGTCCAAAGTGGCTCCCGCCGGAGGTCATGGCGCCGCTCGCGAAGGGGAGGTCATCAGTTCAAGGCTAACCTGAGCAACCTCATAAAGCTCAAACTGATTGGCCAAAAAAAAAAAAAAAAAAAAGAATGAATGATGGTGAGGCTGGATTCTATTATGAATAATGCTGCTATAAACATTGGCATACAAGTGTATGTTTGACTTCCTGCTTTCAATTTGTTTGTATGTATATGTAGACTGTTTTCCTCAGTTACTGCACCATCTTGCATTACTGCCAGTAATGCACAAGGGTTCCAATTTCTCCACATCCTCACTAACACTTTTTATTTATCTTTTTTTCTTTTTAAGACAGAGTCTCACTCTGTCACCCAGGCTGGAGTGCAGTGGCACAATCTTGGCTCACTGAAAACCTCCACCTCCCAGGTTCAAGCAATTCTCCTGCCTCAGCCTCCTGAGTAGCTGGAATTACAGGCTGGTCTCGAACTCCTGACCTCATTTGATCTCTCTGCCTCGGCCTCCCAAAGTGCTGGGATTACAGGTGTAAGCCACCATGCCCTGCCTATTTATCATTTTTTATCATAGCTATCCTAATGGTATCTCACTGTGCTTTGCATTTACATTTCCCTAATGACTGATAAACATTTTTATGTACTTATTGGCCATTTATATATCTTCTTTGGAGAATTGTCTATTTAAGTCCTTTGCATATTTTTTATTGCATTTTAGGTTTTGGGGGACATGTGCAGAACATGCAAGATAGTTGCAAAGGTACACACGTGGCAGAGTGATTTGCTGCCTTCCTCCCCTTCACCCACATCTGGCATTTCTCCCCATGCTATCCCTCTCCATGCTCCCCCCCCGCTGTCCCTCCCCTATTCCTCCCACTATACCCCAGTGTGTAGTGCTACCCTCCCTGTGTCCATGTGTCCTCATTTTTCATCACCCACCTGTGAGTGAGAACATGCAGTATTTCATTTTCTGTTCTTGTGTCAGTTTACGGAGAATGATGTTCTCCAGATTCATCCATGTCCCTGCAAAGGACACGAACTCGTTTTTGATGGCTGCATAATATTCCATGGTGTATATGTGCCACATTTTTCCAGTCCAGTCTATCATCAATGGGCATTTGGGTTGGTTCCAGGTCTTTGCTATTGTAAACAGTGCTGCAATGAACATTCGTGTGTATTTGTCCTTATAGTAGAACGATTTATAGTCCTTTGGATATATACCCAGTAATGGGATTGCTGGGTCAAATGGAATTTCTATTTCTAGGTCCTTGAGGAATGGCCACACTGTCTTCCACAATGGTTGAACTAATTTACACTCCCACCAGCAGTGTAAAAGTGTTCCTATTCCTCCACATCCTCTCCAGCATCTGCTGTCTCCAGATTTTTTAATGATCACCACTCTAACTGGCATGAGATGGTATCTCAATGTTGTTTTGATTTACATCTCTCTGATGACCAGTGATGATGAGCATTTTTTCATATGTTTGTTGGCCTCATGTATGTCTTCTTTCGTAAAGTGTCTGTTCATATCCTTTGCCCATTTTTGAATGGGCTCGTTTGTTTTTTTCTTGTAAATCTGTTTGAGTTCTTTGTAGATTCTGGATATCAGCCCTTTATCAGATGGGTGAACTGCAAACATTTTTTCCCATTCTGTTGGTTGCCG